ATGTTTGTATTAAAGAAAATAAAGAAAGAGTAAGAAAATTTTTTAAAGGGATATATACACAAAGAAAAAAAATATTGAATTAATTTTATTAATTGCAAATGTCGTTTGGATTGATAGAAGAGATTTGTTAAGTATTAAAAAATGATTTATCGACAGATAGTAACAATAATTATTTAAATATTAAATAGATAAAATATTTTAATCGTTCCGGACGATTTCTATGAAGTAGAATTAATATTTTGTATTAAATACATTTAAATTATATATTTTGTTTTATTAAAACAAACGTTTTATATTTTAATAATTTTAATGTATTTAAAAAATATTAAGAAAAAATTAATTTTAATCGAAATACCTTAAAAACGATTTTTGACAATAAATAAATCGATTCGATTGATGACAAAAATCATGTGTATTTATGAAATAAATATAAAAGTCAACAAAATTAATATACAGTTTTTTAATTACTAAAAAATATTTTTCGACAATAGATGAACCTTTTTAACTGTTAACAACCTCTTCATCACAAAAATCGGTAAGTTATTATACGAGCGATATTTTTATTATTCATGACGACCTAGAAATGTAGGCAAGACGATGTAAAACATATATTTCAATAAAAGAACCAACTGATCTCGTTGGAATATTATTAATATATATTTCTAATCGGGCTATAGAATATATCTGATTAGAATAAACAATCAATCTCAAAGGTATATCATCGGAATTATTTATAAATATACTACCCATGTTACGCATCAACTATTTTGCATCTCCCTGTGCATATAACACACATCATTCTCATCTACAAAGGTCCCCTAGGGGTTATAAAACGGCAATTTAATTCATACACTTGATAAACGCTGGGCGCGTGAGCTCCATATACCAAAACTAGAAGTCAGAGTCTTATTATATTATTAAAGTTTACAGAGAGTTGTTGGGTATTTCACAAATCATATCAAAATCAAGTGTAATTCATGGGTAAGAACACCTCTGTGATTATGATTATGTGTTATATTGATCATAAAATAATTTTGATACCTGGAACATGATATATTCACTGAGTATTACTGTATCTGTAATAAGTTGAGAACCGTTATAGTAGTCCGGCTGGCCCGCGTCGAGTTCCAAGTGCGAAGGGGGTTTTTCCATAGAGGGGAGGACTAGTAGCATTCATCGGGATGCAGATGGCTTCTACAACCCTCGCAGCTTACCCTCTCTGTCATCTTTCTTCTCACTTACTCATATTGCTGCACTACTTTATAACCCTACTGCGCACACACGTGTACTTTGCGCGAGCTTGTGGATCAACCAATCACGTCTGTGCATGTTGATGATACGCAAAATCTAGCTACACGTAAAATGAATTACCACAGAGCTACTCTACAGTAATTTCGTGAGGCAAAATACCTTTGCATGTAAATTTCATCTCTATAGAGTAGTGTATTATTGAAAAATTGCTAATGGCCCGTAAGATTTTTATCATTTAAATTAATATAGATGTTCTCTGATTTGATATTATTCGGTTAATTAATTCCACGAAAAACCGTATAATTATTTATTCATTGATTTAATTCTTTTTCAATTCCTAATATACAGTAGTCATCAAAAGTAATTTGACAGACATATTCATTGCATGAATTAAAAACAAATAAGTTGATGTGTTATTTTCTTTTTTACAGACATCCAATGATTAAATGCGTATTCAAGAATTTTTTTAATGCAGTTTTGTTTAAAAAAAAAAAAAAAAAAAAAAAAATAACAAATTTATTATTGTCAGTTAATATTTTTGAAGGTATTAATGCAACTAAATACTGTAATTAAATGTTACTGATTGATTAAAATGATAAATAAAAAATATTAGCATGAAATATTTTGACAATAAACCGGAAAAAAAATTACTTTAACTTGTTTTCCCCCTGAAAAATGCTGTTTCCTTTTTTAAAAACGATAAAAGAGTTTAATTATGGCTGAATGGAAAGACCTTAAGTGGTGCTTGAAGGAAAAAGTATGTCATTACATGATTCATTAAAAAAAAAAAAAAAGTCTCAAAAAAATATTTCAAGAAATGATATTTTATTTAAAATTAAAAAATTTTAATTAATTAATTAGTTGGATAATTTTAATTGAAAGAAATTAAATGTTTAGATGAAGATGATTGTAGATGGGGAGATTGGTGATTTAGAAAAATAGTTGAAAAGATAAAATAATAAAAATGTGTTATCGATTTCATATTATTTGTATCAACTATAATAGCACCAAACAGAGAGCTTTGTAATCGGCCCTCCTCATCTATCTGTATAAAGACTTTGTCCATAGCGGAAGGGAATTGCAATCGTCGCTACCCTCAATCGTTTCCACTATAGGGCCACCCTCTTCACTTTCTCTCATTATACTCGTGCCAAGAGAGATCGAGAAATCGTGAAATATCAAATGGTATCACCTGTTGGCAATGCAACCACCAAATACTTATATATACTGAAGATACTTCTATACAACACCACAATGTTGTCCTTCAAACTTTTTCTTTTATTCAATTCACTCAGTATCAGTTCATTATTCATCCAGTAATGCATCGTTTGCTATTTTTTATTCACCTTTTAGAAAAATCAACTCCTTTGATCTTTCAACCGAACTTGCAATCGATTCTTTCGATTTAAAAAGTCATCAGCTGACTTTTTTTATTGTAAATTAATTTTTTTTATCATTCAATTTGTTTAGGGGAGTATTAACAATATTTTTATGGAAATAAACAATGAGAAAAAAATTGTCGTTATACAAAAAAAATGTTTATTTAATAAATAAAAATAATTAGAAATATTTGCAATTGAATATTTTAATGAATTTATGGTGAGTTTAAATACAAGTGATATTAGATTAATTCTCATTTTCTGAGACACCATAGATTTAACAAAAATAAATAAAACATTAGAATAAAACAATACTCAGATATTTTATTTAAAAGAATTAAGCACAATCGAAATGTATTTTTAATTATTTTCAGTAAGCATCAAAACTAAATCTATATGTTAAAATGATTCTATGCCAATTCCAAAAAAATATTCGATTGCAAGAGTTCCAAATTTTGATTTTATTATTAACAAATAATATTACTTGTTCACAGTAAATTTTTTTTTTAGTGTATTTAAATATTTATTTAAAAATATTTTAGAGTACATCAGCTATCTCATATTGTCCTTGTCTATCTCCAAAGTAATTTAAATAAACGGATTACAACAAACCAATAAATAAGAAGTAATTTTAAATCCCCATTATTAAAAAAAAAAAATTATTTCTCAAAAAAAAAAATTTAACCTTCAATCATAAATTACCTAAAATAAATTCTATTGTTCACTTAAAAATGTTTACTATTTCAAGTCTAACAACAAATTACCTGTAATCTTGTTATCAATCTCAAAAAAAAACCTCTTTGATCGACAATTTTTCGCCAAAAAATAAACATGAAAGCGGCAAATTGGCAAAAAAAAATCCTTTTAAATTTTTTTACCCAAAACTATAAGCCTTTTTCTCTCTTCCTCATGAATACTTTCAGTGAAAGCTTTCTTTTTCGTATACAGAAGTGCCTATAGCTATACAAAGTGTATAATAAAGAGGTGGATCTCGCTACTCATGCAGGTTGAATGGCCTGTCGCGCGTGCGCTAGCTGAACACCGAATATAATAGGTATAGGTAGACCATTTGCTGATATAGTATTCGAGATTATTTAGGTACATACCATTTGACGACTTTTCTATGTCTTTTTCATCACAGTACAAAGGAAAAAAAAAGAAAGAAGAGGAATCGTGGCACGCGTCTGTCTATACTTAATTGTTATATCTGAATCGTCCATTCAATTATCATAATTGCATAAGAGTACCTGTGTATTCACAGGTGTTTTTATTACATATTTATAAATAGATCTGTTGTCTAACTGTCTACTATTATAATATTCATACTTATGTCTTTATCTATTTCATTCATTCAACTTTAGAATAATCTTATCGCTCTTTATTACCTACAATTATCACAATTATTCATTAGACCCTAAATACTTTATTCTATTTACATGAATTTATTTAAATATAATACCAACATTCCACTTGTTCCCCTCAAAGTCTTCAAAATTGAAGAAAAAATTAATTCAGCAAAACTCGAGAGTTAGAAACAATTAATTGAATAATTGTATTATTTAAAATGTTTAGTTATTTAATATTAATTGAAGAAAAAATTATTAATTGGTGATTTAAAATTTTTTTTTTCCAAGTCTTTTTGTGAATGAGAGTATCAGTAACCTAGATAACATCATTTCGATGCCTTTCAATTGACGTGATGATGTTATAAATCACAATGATGCATGAAAAATTCTAGGATAAATGGTGTTGATCTTTATTCATGAAGTAGGTCATTTTGAAATTTATATGTAATAAGTTTGATCTTAGCAAGTCGGAAAAATAGCGGGTAGTATTTTTCAAAGGTTCGATAAATGTATCTCATGGTTGTCAGTTGATTCCAGCGTGCTATTATCCTCACAAATATGCCTCGATTATCAAATTGCAATATTTATATTGAAAAACAGATGAATAACGTTCTCGGAAGGTGAAAAACGCTTCCGTTTTCGTTTAGAGAGTATGTATATATACATATATATATAGAGATATTTATATGAAGCATGATCGCTACTTTTTGGTCTTGAACCGAGAGCCGGGTACAAGAGTAAGGGACGAGCAGGAAAATGGTGAGATGACGCCGCTAGACGTCGCGATAGTAAACCGGTAAGGTAACAGAGAGGAAGGACCGCCTACATGGTGTTGGGCAAAGTTGGCTATTGGTGGAGCGAAATGATGGCAGGCGTGCGTGCCAATCGATTACTGGTGGTAGGACTGAACTCGGTAGCTACCGATTGCCGGGTATGGTTGGAGTAGTGGCGGGTGGGGGGAATGGGGATACCAGTAGTGGGGATACTTGCAGGAAATGAACCCAGTGGCTGAGGAGTATAGGACTGGAAGCAGAACCTGAGAATACTCAGACGGTTTCGATCTTTCGAAGAGTACAGAAGTGTTCCTTCGAGAGTCGTCAGAGAAAAACGTGCGCGTGTTTAACTCGACATATATCTTCAACTGAGAGAAAATAAATCGAATTGATTGTTCAGAGTCCTATTTGATACTCTTGAGTTTGATAAACAAGTATTTGAAAAGTTAAGTGATCAATTTTGATGATCGTGTTTATTTTCAATCATCGAGTTGTTGATCAGATGAATACAAGACGATTTAATAAGCGAAGTAAAAACATAGTGAAAGTGAACCAGTTATTTAAAATTCATTGAAATAAATAACAATAGTATTGTTATACAAATTGAAGTTGAACAACAATAAAGTCGTCAAAGGGATTCATAATAAAGTGGTAATGTTCGTGAAGAAAGTGTCGGTTAGTTGCGTAGACAGTGTGTACAGTAGTGGTATTATCTACTGTGTGGCGTCAACGTGTTAACAGTAAATAATACAAGGACATGATCCACAGCTACGTGGTAAAAATAAACATTGACCAAATCAACTGATAAACATTGACGGTGTGTAGTGACATATATAATCGACTATCAGTCTTTGATTTGTTTTTCCGTTTAAGTTATCTTCAAGGATTTTTGTGTTCATCAACGATAACCTTGAAGCGTTACGATTTCTCTATCTCTGCTGCTAAGTAATTACAAAAAATTACCAAACTGTACGGCCACAGGGAGGAAGACATGTTAACGATGGATACGGATCTGAAAGGCGGCCTTCACGGGCAAATGCCGCCGCATCCTCATCAAGGGGTATCACCGATGGGTCATCATACTGGAGTATCTCCTTATGGTGCTCTTGGATCTATTGTACATAGTCCAGCATTATCAACTGGTAGCCCACCAAGCTCTGGTGGTTTGAGTGCGTTATCCCTTCAGCATCATCATCAAACTCAACAACATCATTATGCATCGATGCAAGCTATTCAACAGCAGCAACAACAACAACAACAGACTATGCACTCGATTGCTCAGCAACAAGCATCTCATCACGCACACCAGCAATCACAGCAGCAAACTCCTCAGCAAAATACTCAACAGCAACAACATCAAGCTGCGAATAATAATAATACGACTAGCAAAAATAATAATGTGGATCGAGTGAAACGACCGATGAATGCTTTCATGGTCTGGTCGCGCGGTCAAAGACGCAAGATGGCTCAAGAAAACCCAAAGATGCACAATTCTGAGATCTCGAAAAGACTAGGCGCTGAATGGAAACTCCTTAGTGAATCTGAAAAACGTCCGTTTATTGATGAAGCCAAACGGTTACGTGCTGTTCATATGAAGGAACATCCTGACTACAAGTACCGGCCACGAAGGAAGACCAAGACTCTGTTAAAGAAAGACAAGTTCCCTCTTGGTGGTGGTGTTGGAGTTGGTGGTATGCTAGCAGTGGATCAACGACAAGTGAATGCGGTTAATCAAGCTCAACAATCGCAGTTGCCGCGTGACGTTTATCAAATGCCCAACGGGTACATGCCTAATGGATACATGATGCATGATCCGACGGCAACATATCAGCAACATGCAACTTATGGAGGACACTTGGCAGCGGCCGCCGCTGGCTATCCGCGATATGACATGAATAATCATCACGTGAGCGGCGGTGGTACCATAAGTCCTGTTGGTCATTACTTGAATGGTCAATATCCTGGTTATGGACCAACAACGATACCCAGAGGTTCACCACCCTATTATCCAGCTCAACCAGGCTCTCAAATGTCCAGTCATAGCCCAAGTGGGAGCAGTATCAAGTCCGAACCCACCAGTCCAGCGAGCGGTGGTATTCACACACCAACACCAATTGTCACCTCATCTTCTGCTACATCAGGCGTCAAAAGAGAATTCATGGCTCAACAGCAACCTCAACAATCTCAAGGTGATCTCAGGCAAATGATCTCCATGTATCTACCACAGAGTGGTGAACAAGGCATTGTTCAACATGGATCTGGTGTCTATTCCCCTGGACCTTCGCCTGATCCTCTGGTTCAACATCACACGACCATGCCAACGTCGCTCAATCACCACCACATGTAAGCTTACTATCAACATACGATAGAGAGACACTCTCAACACTCATAGTTAATATAGGTATACCTGTATAGCATTGATCTATTTCAAAAACATTTTTTTTAATTTAATCTAGAGCTGATGGCCATTTCATACAGATTTATTTAGATAATGTTAGATATTCCATACGCGAGAGAAAATAATTTGACTTTTTGATTAAATATTGTTTCGAAAATTTTCCCTGCTATTGCAGAGTAACTCATTTTATTTTCATGCGTGTAAATAAGAAAAAAGTTGTTTTAAGGAAGAGTTAATAATCTTGATAAGTAAAATAAGGCACAAAACGTATACGGCCGGAAACACGTTTTCCTACACTTTACCTATACTGTGATAGTAATTATCAAAGCGCGCTCGAGCTTGAATATGATCGAACAACCGGGAAACAAAAAATCCGGCATTCAACATATGTTTAGGTAAATGATTAAAGATTGAAATAATAAATTCGTGGTTAGATGAACCATTTAAAAGAGAATCATAGACATAACTAAAAATTATCAGTGTAAATAAATATTTAAAGATGTACCCGTATATATTATTACTTATGATCTATAATGTAAATATTATTAATTATAATAACATTTATTCTCATTCTATATGATGATATAAATATGTGTGTACATATTTATTGTACATTTGTACGTGTACGTACCATCAAAAAGAAAAATTAATAAGACAGAATATAAATATTTAGGTATAGTTAATATTGGAAGGCAATCTTCCATCATTCCAAACTATTAATAATTTAATTTGAAAATAATTTCAAATCAACTTTACAAACATATTGAGGGCGAATTTAATTGTCATTGCAAAAAAAATAATAATTGAGTTTAAGATGAGAATGCAATGACATTTTTCTCCCTATTGTATAATATTAAAACCAATGTCCTTTGAATTATGATTAATTATTATTTAAACAATTATTATTTACTTTAATCATAATACATTTATATTATTTCACGATATCATTGTATGTTCCAGTTTATTTTCTGCCTACAAAAATCCAGTTTTGAGTTTCCCAGTTTATGTTAAACAATCATTGTAATAAGAAATAATACACATGTTATCAATTATTTCATTTACTTTTTTTTTTAATTCACATACACTATGAAGATATTTGTAATTACTGATCCATGACTGTGATTTCGTAAGGCCTATACCGAATAATTAATACGTTGTATCAATATTTTTTTTTTTCATTTCTTAAATTGTACCTTCATTAATTCAAAGATTTATTTAACACATAGACTATTATGTTTTTTTTTTCTTTTCTTTAATTTTTACTTTGTCTTTTCTAATAACAAAAAAAATAGTAAATGATGATAAAATTTATGATAAATATTTGAATAAAATTGTCTTTAAGGATCGGATGTTAAGGCCTTATATAAATGATAAAAAAAAAAGTTATTATAAAAAAAAACAATTGAGAAAAATTATTATCTTGTGTATAAGAAATATAAATGTTTTTTTTTTATCATGTTAAATAATTCGACTGATCAAATTAATTCCAATATATGTCTTGCTAAAAAATATTCTATTGTGTTTTCAATTTGATATTATTACCTACACATTCATACACACATCCTCTTCATTTATCCTTTATCATCCTTAATAAAAATAAATAACACTATCATATAATTAAGTATATAAATAAATATAACAAGGAATCAGGTAATTATAAAATTTTTATCATCAAAATTTTATTTGGGCACATTTTACTGTAAAAGCACATTTAAATTAATCACAAGTGGGAGTTGGGTGAATAAAATATCATGGAGATGGTTAATAATAAAGAGCATGCTATGGTTGAACTGGAGGAATATGTCAAGATTTAATACTTTGTCTGTAACGAAAAAATAATTCGTCAAGTCTTTTAGTATAAATAAATGCCAAGTATTATGTTTAAGTAATTTCCGACAAAAAGCTTTAATATAACTTTTCTCAAGTAAAATAAGAGAGTCAGATGCAAATGTGCACACGTCTGTCGATGGGGTCCCTAATGTGCTTTCAGTTACGAGCGTTCTTCCAACCAACCCTTCAACAACCTCCAGTTCAGCACGTTTTTGCGATAAAAAGTATCCATAAATATACTGTGAGTAAATTTTTCTTTTCTTCTTTGACGTGACGACATAATATGTGGCTTATTAATCACAACCTTTCTGTTTTTCTTCTAAATTAACATAAATTATATTTCTCACAATATTGCTCTCCACTTGGTACATTTATATGGCTCTATCTAACGGGAATAAATATGTTCATCATTTATATGAGTTTCAAGAGCTTGTCTGACACAAACGATTAATTAAATCTAGCTATACCTATAATTGATGTGAGACGCTAATGTCCGATTTGCATGAGACAACGAAATAGCCACACACCGAGTGGCTCTTAATTTAGTCTGCCAGTGATTACAATCAACCAATTTGTTGTACTTTTGGCCCTTCGGCTTGAGTTTTGAATGTGGAAAAATAAAATGTATTCCACCTTATCTCTGTCTCCTACCTTCTGTGAACCCCCTCGTGGCCACGACACAACAATCTGCCTGTCGTTCCAGTCTTATTGCATGATTATATACACTTTATATAGATGCCTAGGAAATTGATCATTTTTACTATTTATTTGATTTCACTTCAAGAAAAATTTTTTTTTTCCAACTATGATTTAATCTTCATGCTTTTCTTTTAAATAATAATTATAATTGAACATATAACAGATTGCAATTTGATAAATAAACAATAAATTTTGTAAAGAAAAAATTGGATAAAAAAAGCAGATACATTGAAAAGAATATTTCAATTATTTTATTTATTTTCTTATTAAATTATTCTTTATCTATTGATAAGAATCTGATAATTTATTCCACAAAGTGAAGTTGTTAAAAAGGTCATTACTTTTAGGGAAAAAATTATTTTATATTTCCTAATATTGATAATAATAATTATTATTTAAATTCTTAAATAAAAAAAAAATGATAAAAATAATTATTTTCAAGTTACAATTAATTGTTGTTTTTTTTATTATTTTGTAATGAATATTTTGTGAAAAAATCAATTATAATATAATTTTTCAATTTAAATTGAAATAAATTATTATTTCATCATCAATACACATCTGTCAAAAACTAAATGAAAATTTTCTTTATCAGAAATAATTTATGGAAACCGTATTTCTTCTTACACATCAACTTTGAATACCTTTACTTTATTATCCACTGCTAATACACACTATGAAAAAGAATAAAGAAAATATTTTATCAAATGTACATAAGCAACTTGGGTTATATACAGCTCATCATACTCAGGATAATACACACCTATGTACACATTAGGTTTCAATTTTTTAATTTTTATTTATACTTTATCCAACATACATTCAGATCATTAACAAGTATCTTACTTCCTTCACAGACGTGCAAATATATTCATACGCTAGTGTAATAACAGTTGTTCGATATCAACAATATCAAATGAATAAATACAGAAAAAAAAACAATGAACTAATTTAATTAAAAATAAAATAAATACAACAATTTTATCAAATTATTTTTATTTACAATGACTTATGGGTATACCTATATTGAAAATAAATTATTACAAAAATAAAGAAAAAACAATTTTAGTAAAAAAAAAAAAAAAATTAATAAATATTTTTAATGAAGTACAATAATGGAAAAAGTATTACAAAAGAGTGTATGAAGAATAATGATAATTAGTTGAAGTGTTGAACATGTAAACGTGTCACAAAATGTAACACAGTAAAACCGTTATCAGTGGTAGTATCTTCACACCTGTAATTTCCATGTTCTCGCCTACCCCCTTATAAAAACGCAAGCAACGATGCATAGTCTCGTCGCGTCTTCTTACAAATTAATTGAAGCGCATTGACGCGCATTTATACCCTCATTCCACTCTTCTTATCCACCTCTACCTTTTTCCATCTCTCTAGGTATTTGCATTATGTATTTTCATACTCGAGCGACATTTATCAACAGCGATATCTCTCACGAGATATATTCACAATATTTTGTCACAATTATCTAAAAGATAGCGATTACATCCGCAGTTATATACAATTTTAATTGCTCCCAACATAAAGAACAAATGTGTTACCGACTGTAGATAATGCACGTACACCACCAGACTAGTGAGATTCGTGAAATAAATGAAAATTTTCCAGTGATAATTGGCGCGAAAGAAAAACCAATAGATGACAGAGAAGGTGAGAGGAATAAAATATAAAAAAAATTGAATGAGGGGTTAAAAACAATGACGGAACGAGACTATGCAGTATCGTGGTTAATCGTGCATAACTGGGGTTAACAATGTGCCACTTAACGCCGGTAATGGCGCATCGAAACGCTGGTGCAATCCAGTAAATCAATCGTCCTCTGCCAGTGAACAAAGTGAACGTAACAAGTGGGCAAAACGACGTGAAAATGAAATGCCAAGTACAAGTGAGCCAAGAACACGAGCTTTGGACACAATAGATTTGTATTTAGTTATTGTGTGTATGTATATCTATACATAGTAACTGATATAAAAGTGTATTTGTCTCATCTACATAAGAAGGTAGGTGAGATTCACACTTTGGCAATCGGTGTGTGTTGAACAGCATCTAAATATAGATAGGATCGCAATGATTCATAGGAATATTTCTTGTCCAGCTACCCGGTTTCTATTTCGTGCGGCAGGTAGAGGTATAACAACCTACTCGAGCTACCTGTCGAATCACTGCCAAGAGACTTTGGATTATTTCACTACACATTCATCGAAATAGCTCTGTATATATATTTTAACATTCTAGCATTTCGAGAGTTATTTTGATCATGATAACCCTGGAAAATTGGGAATTAAGATAGAGATACTATCAATATTTGACACGAGAGCTTATAAAATGTTATTTATTTGATCGGTTTATTTATTCACCAGTTTTTTCTTGGTCGAGGTAAATACTTGGCGCGTGATTG